TCTCCCGGTAGGGGCCAGTTACTGTACATCGGCCTTTGATCCAGGGTGCAAAATGCGGCCAGTAGGCTGGAGGATCAGTGCCTGACAGTTTGCGGTTGTCCACATAAACATAGACAGTGGCATACTGTGGCAACCATGAGAGGTTATCTATGATCCACTGGAAAAGCGTTCTATGATGGACCTGGCTAGCTGCGGGGCGTCGGATGCCGTTCCCTTCGTCCACCATGAGCGCAGGGTATGTCAGGGGTGACCGGGGCATTCGACAAGAGCCGACATCGGCCCATTTCCACCTTTGTTTGATATCGTCCATGCCGAGTGGGGTTTCAATTTCTTTTTCCGAGAGGAAAAGTTCGTCGAGCTGGTGGCTTATTTGTGAGACCTCCTGTACATTGAAGAAGTCTATAGGTGCGGCAATTTCCCACTGCTCCCTTGGGGGAGGCTCAGCCCCTTGTTGGAAATACGGAATGTCATCTTCTGTTTCGAGGGCGTCAAAGTATTCTGTATCACTGTCCACTGACACATCCTCGACTGTGTTATCTGGGGCGGTTGGCTCTGCTGGTTCGATGTCTGTATCTGAGTCATCAGGGTCAGGCGACGCCAATGAAATGAACCTGTTTGGTGTCATAAGCTGTTGCAGCATGCTGACGCAGGCTTGACCCTGAACAGCCGGTACCCGGGTGTCAGGTGCCAAGTGACCAGCCGAAAATAGTGAATGCTATATGGGCAGAGAGTGCAAAATGTGTCAACAGGATTGGCTAGGCTAGGGAAACCCCGAACGCCCGGCACCCGGGGTCAGGGTTCCCCGTTGCGGGGCCAATTCGTTGGAGGTGAAACAAGTAGGAAACAAAACAATCAGGGTTTGTCTAACACCTTGGTGTGCGAATTGATGTTGGATGGCTGACCTAGCTATGAAAACTAGTGGAGCCACAAAAGCTGCAGTGCGAACAATTGAGCCACTGACAGTTTATGCAACCTTCTTTGCCCAAAGTACATGTTAGTTCGACAGAAGTTGAGATGACTGACGGCGACAGGACCTGGGACACACGCCTAACCAAGACAGCTTAGTAGACAAAAATCCCCATAAATCCCCTTACTCCGGCTTGTGGGGGTCATACTTGAGTGGGTACTCTCCCATAAGGTAGGTTTAGGGGGTATTATCCTGGCACGCAGCTGCTTTTCTCTTGGCGCATCTGTGGAGTAGGCGGCATTAGAAATGGCACTGATCAGGTGGTTTCACACAGTCAGGTGCACGCGGTGCTAGCTGTCTGCAGGGTCAGTCAATAATTTCCATTTCCATATCTGCGACAGGAGGTTCAAACAACTTTGTACAAGTTGGTGTGGGCGTTTCAGATGGGTTCAAGCTGGATGGTTCAGTTTCTGTGCAACCCGCAACATGTGACAAGGCTATTTACAGGTCGGTAGTCAAACACATCGTGGGCTGTACATACATGGAAGAGCGCGCAGCTCAGCGTGAGCATGCAATTCGACAGTGGTGGGACTTGCTCCGCCTCAACCTTTCAATGAGCGATCCAGGAAGAGCGGCAGTTCATGAGAAGGGCCTGTCAGACATTTTCAGATATGGTCTTGAGTTGCTAGACGCCGTGTTCGGTTTGAAAAGCCCCGGTACACTGATGAAAAGATTGTGTGCTATCAAACTTTTCAACCAGTGGATCATACGCAACTACACCGAGACCTGGCTACCTCTCCAAGAACGACATGTCTGGAGCTACATCAGGTTTCTACGTGAATCCAAGGCTCCAGCCTCGAGGGCGGTTAGCCTGCTGGAGTCAATTCGATTCTGCCATCATATGCTGAAGGTGGACGGGTCATTGGAAATTCTTGAGAGCTTGCGTGTGAGAGGCTTGGCATCGCAGCTTTTTGCAAACAAGAAGCCGTGGAGACCGTCCGACGTCCTGACCGTGAATGATGTGGAGTTCCTGCATCACAGCTTTATGGATTCCACAAAGAGTGACATTGATCGGGTCTTTATTGGGCACCTTCTGCATATGCTGTATGCCAGGGCCAGGTTCAGTGACCTACTGGCCGTGACAGATTTGTTCTTGGACTCCGAGGACGCCTTTCTGGAGGTGAATGCTGCTCTGCACAAAGGTGCCCGTAGCCTGGATGCAAAATCGAAATTGCTGCCAATTGTAGCACCAGCTGTGGGAATCAATGGTGAGAACTGGGCAAAGATGTATCTTGAACTTCCTCGACTGGTTGGCCTGCGCAATCCGAAAGAGGAGCCAGTCCCTATGTTGTTGGCTCCCAACAAAGGAGTGCAAGGATGGAACGAGCGATACATCACTTCCCAGGAACTCAACCATTTCATCAAGCGGCTTTTCATGTCAAGCGGAAGACCCATTGCTGGCAGAAAAATCACGACCCACTCGATGAAAGCTACAACGCTTTCTTGGTGTGCCAAGCTTGGTGTTCCAGAAGAACACAGAGCCATTCTTGCCAGGCATGCGAAAAGTGTGCAAGGTGCAACCGTTTTGTATTCCCGTGATTTGATCACCAGTGCCGTGCGCTCGCTGACAGGGGTGCTCACCTCAATCAAGGACAAGGGTTTTCATCCAGATAAGACAAGGTCTGGGATGATTACACCCGCAGCAGCAACACCGGCAGGCGCACCGGTGACGCCCTTCAACATTGCAGTTCCGGTGACAGCTGGGAATCAAGCCGTGCATGGAGCTCAAGCCAACACGGCTCAAGACATTGCTGGTGATGCCGGCCCGGATGCAAGATCAGATGGTGTGACTGCGGAAGATGCAGCAGGAGCACAGAGTCCAAGTGGTGTGGTATGGGATGGAGGCTCGGATGGGTATTCACCTGGCACTCCATTACAATGCATCCCTGTCAAAGAGGAGTTCACTTGGCCTGACAGCAGCTGGGATGGCTCAGTGATTGACCTTGAAGAGCAGCATGATCTTTTGCGAGATTGGCACTCTGGATCTGAAGAAGAATCCAGTGGGTGCTCCGAGTCAGATGACAGCGATGACTATGTCTGGGAGGAGTCACCGAAAGAGAAGGCAAGCTCCTCCAGAGGGCCAGCTCTTGTGCCAAAGTGGTACATCAATGTGAAGACCAACGTCATCCATGAGAGAAGGAATGACACCACCTTCCGTTGTGGCAGACCTATGGGAGCCACCTACGTAGCGATCCCAGCACTGACTGGGTTGAGATGCGGCAAGTGCTTTGCGCACAGCCTGTGACGCACCTCTCTGTGGGGTATGAAAAAGTTTGGAGCTTGCGCTTCAACATTAAGCTGTTGTATGTCAACAGCTTGATTTGGTCGATAACAACTTGAAAACTGTTGTATGTCAACAGTTTGTTCAGCATTTGTGAATGCATGCATAAGCTGGTATGTCCAGCACAACTTGGATTTCATGTCAATATCATTGCTACATGTGTTGCTTGCGCAATTTGACGTTTTTCTTGTTTTTTTTTGTGAGAGTGTTGTCACTTACATGTTCAATTTGGGTTTGTGCAACTTGTCTTTGCCTCCATGTTGATCATGCGATCAATTTTCATGTTATCTGAGACTTTGGTTCAAGATGGCTGGAGTTCAGGACAGTGAAGCCCACTTCGCTTCACGCGCAGCTGAGTATGGAGTGCCATCCGAATTTGTTGGAAGGCTCAAAGCAGAAGGGATCTCAACGCTGGCCCATTTGGCCTTTGCAATCTTTAGGCCAGGCACTGAATTTGAGGAACGCGCATTTACAGATTGGGCCACTGACAGGAACAATGGAATCCCACTCACCATGGGGGCCGCTGCTGCATTGAGACGTTTGCATTTTGAGAGCGAGGTTGTGATGACAGCTACTATTAGAGCTTCTGTGGAAACACCAGACCCTGGTATTCCAAAAGCAATCCCTTTTGCAGAAAAAGCGGCAAGATTGGATGTCCTGCGCACGAGGTTCAATGGGCTGCACATTCATGGTGTTGGGGAGCCATCCCATGCTTTGTTGGATGAAGTTTGTGCACAATTTGAGTCACGCGTCTTGAAGTACATTGAGCCTCAAAGATGCACGAGCAGGGAGCTTGAGATTACCACTGGAAGAACGGATAAAAAGCTAAAGTTGGATGCCGGGACATTAGCTATCAAGGAATCGAAAAGCATCCCGGACGAAGCAATATCCACCACTTTCCACCTTGCTCTATGCCTTAAGAGACGTGGGTTAGCGTATGAATTCGCCAACCTTATCTCTTTTCGAGTGCATGAAATTTATACAGAGCGACTCCTAAGGCACCTCAGCACTGAACCACCTACAGGGTTCCAGGCGACAACTCTTGCCCAGGTCCTTCGTGCTGACAAGGAGGTTTTCAGTGTTCTTGCGCAAGGAGTGACAGATATACGCCCTGGCGCTGATGATGTGAAACCTCTGGACGCTGCATTGGAAGCTGCTCTCAAGGAATATACGGTTGCTTTCCATTTGGTGCCTTTGCCAAAATTTGCAGTCAAAGACGAAGTCCAAGCACCTGTGCGGAAGAACTTCAATGAGCCTTACCCTACCCAATTTGCAAGCAAGGGTAAGGGCAAAGGTAAAGCTGGCAAAGGTGGGAAGTCATCAGGTTCAAATGCAGCACCAAAAGGATTTCACGGATGCGTGGGGCGAGATGCAAAGAACCGTCCTATTTGCTTTGACTACAACATTTCAAGCTGCAACAAGGCGCCTGCAGGTGGGAGCTGCCCAAAGGGCAGACATGTGTGTTTCCGAGGCGGATGTTTCAAAGCCCATGCCTTCCGTGAGGCGCATAGCAATGACATGCCAAAAGCTGCAGAGTGACTACAAGGCCCCAAGGCCAATGTGCAGAAGGACTCTCATGCTGTGGTATTAGAGTTATGTTGCGGTACAGCGGGTCTCAGTGCATCGTTTAAACGATTGGGCTTTGATACAATAGCTGTCGACAAACATGTGCCCAAAGCGCCAAAGGCGTCAATTACGAAGCTGGATCTGACACAGTTTTCTACCCAACAGCTTGTGCTCGAATGGATCAGGATGCCACAGGTCAAAGCCGTTTTCATTGCACCTCCTTGCGGAACTGCTAGTAAAGCCAGAACAATTCATTTGGATGATGTTGAAAATTTGCCACAGCCCTTGCGTACAGTGGAACAGCCTGACGGCGTTGACAACTTGGAAGGTTTAGATTTCGTGCGTGTCAGCCAATCCAATGTTTTGTATGATTTTGTTGCTGCTTGCTATGAAGAGTGTTGCGCTTTGGACAAGCTTTTTCTTTGTGAAAATCCAAGAGACTCTCTATTTTGGCTGGTCTCACCCTGGGTGGAACGACAGTATCAACATATGGCGATAGAGCAAGTGCATCAAGCATGTGCATACGGCTCCATGCGTCCTAAGTGGACCAAGCTTTCAGGCAACTTTTCTGAAATAGCTGAAATCAACCAAACATGTCCAGGTAATCACAAACATGAACCATGGGGCATGCAGCATGTGAATGGAAGGAGAGTCTTTGCAACAGCTCTGGAAGTGCACTACCCCATGCAGTTGTGTGATACAATCGCCAACACCATTGCTTTGGCGCTTAGCAAAAAGAATATTGTGCCTCAGCCCGACCTTTCCATGAATCAAGCAGCGCGGGCTTTCTCTGATGTGCAACAAGGCACAACCAAGATACCCACATTCCTTCCAGAATTTCGCACAAAGATTGCTGGTGTTTGGTTGCAACATAGGCAAATTTGGCCTCAGAAACCTTTGGATGTTAATGCATGCAAATTGTTGTATGAAATTTCAGTTGGGGCGGACGATATACAACAACTTGGCACGAAACTGACGGAGCAATGCAATTTGAAATGTTTGGATGTTTGTTTTGACAATCTGGACCTGGCCAAGATTGCAGCTTTCCCTTGTACGGTGCAATTGAAATTTTTTGGAGTTTATTTTTCGGAAGAAGAGTTTCTGAATGAAGCTATGAAAGCCCAGCATCCACTAGCAGCCGAACTGGCGCTTCCACATGAGCTCAGGGAAGCCATTCTTTTCAATTTCAATGCAGCTGATCATGAAGTAGTGAAGCACCGGGCTTCCTTTCTTGCAAAGTGGGTGAGTCGGGCGAAACAGCTCAGTGCCGATGAGTGCAGTCTTAAGGATAGTATGGACCCCAAAGTTGCTTCAGCTGTGCGCAACAAGCGAATTTTAGTGTTCAAAGAGATGCTGATTGATACTGGTTTTCCTGACTTGGGTGTTGTGGACGAGCTAATCACTGGTGCCAGTCTCACTGGGGAGGTTCCGGCTACAGGTATGCTCCCTGGAAAGTTTACTCCGGCAGTTGCGACAGATGCAGAAATACGTGAAGCAGCATCGCGCATTAGACCCAAGCTGGACTCTGACAATTTGGGATCAGGTGACCCCATTATAGATGCAGAAGTTTGGAGAAAAACGCTTGAGGAAGTGGAAAGGGGTTGGTTACAGGGTCCGCTGCCCCGCAGCAGTGTGCCCGGTGACCAACCCATTTCCAGGCGTTTTGGCTTGTTGCAAAAGAAGGGAAAGGTGCGTCTCATTGACGATTTTTCGGAGTCAGGTGTGAACAGCACCGTAACTTCTGTTGAGTCACCTGTTTTACACACCATTGATGTGGCATGTGCAGTTTTGGCTTTCTGGTTTTTTGTTTGTGCAATGAAGGCAATGTTGACCCCAGGCTTGTGATCCGAACTTTTGATTTAACGAGCGCTTACCGACAGGTAGGACTGTGTCAAGTTGGCCGAGATTTTGCTTGTATTCGAGTTTTTGATCCAAAGGACAAATGCATGAAGTACTTCAGATGCTGTGTGTTGCCATTTGGAGCAACTCGCAGCGTCCACACGTTTTTGCGTTTGGCGAGGGCCATATGGTGGATTGGAACTGTAGGTTGCAAGTTGATGTGGACGTCATTCTACGATGACTTCATAACATGCAGCAAGCCAGCCCTATCTGGTTGTGCAGAAAGTACTGTGATTTCACTTTTCCGGCTTTTGGGCTGGGTTTTTGCAGAAGATGGTGACAAATGCCAACCATTTTCAGATTCTTGTGAGGCTCTAGGAGTAGCAATTAATTTGTCTGACTCTGAAAGGGGCCGAGCGACTATATGCAATACAGAGGCTAGGATCCAAGAGCTTTGTTCAGACCTGCAGGCAGTGCTGGATGAAGGTGTTCTCAAATCCAAAGTGGCGCAAAGGCTACGTGGAAGAATGCAATTTGCCGAAAGTCAATTGTTTGGTCGCACAGGCCGCAGGTGTCTTAAAGTTTTGAGTGACTTTGCGGAAGGCAGGAAGTTGAAACTGCAGTCCAAAGACAAGTTCTTTATCAATCTGTTCAAAGAGCTACTGCAGAACAACATCCCTAGAGAAGTTTGTGCTCTGGGCAATTGCAACGTGATTGTTTTCACAGATGCATGTTACGAGCGTGATAGCTTGGTTTGGCCTTGCGGTCTTGGCGGAGTTTTGTGTGAAGGTGACGATAAGCTTTACTTTTCTTTGGAAGTGCCTGAACACGTACGGCATGCTTTGGGCGAACTTGTCAAAAAGCAAATCATCTTTGAGGCTGAGACCTTGTCAGCCGTAGTAGCCTTCATACTTTGGAAGCGAAGATTTGTGAACAAGCGATGCATTTTATTTGTGGACAATGAGGGTTCCAAGTTTTCTCTCCTCAGAGGGTCTTCTGACAACGCAGTTGTGGATAAGTTAGCTGGTTTCTTTGCAGAACATGAAGCTTCAGTTCATGCAGTCACATGGCTTGCGAGAGTGCCCTCTAAAAGCAATTTGGCTGACCACCCATCTCGCAATGATGTCAGTTTACCTTTCTTCAGGTCTGCAATCGATGTGTCCTCTGAAGCTTCTATAGTTTTGGAACAGCTTGTCTGCAGAATGTTGGAAGTTGGGGAGAAAGGCTGCGTGACAAGCCATAGTGGAAAAAGAAAGAAACTTTGCTGATCTTTCAATGCACATGTCAGAACGGGTTTGCAGAATAATGTGCATGTCACTTGAGACAAAACCTTATGAATGCAAATGCATGTTATCAAACATGCAACGTTCCTCTCAAGGGAGGGTGGGCGGGTTTCGTCACCTTTTTGACTTTCGAGACCCACCACCGTCCCCATTCACCACCTGGACACAGCTTGCAGCCTAGCCCTTACAGCCTAAGAAAGGCTGCGTGACAAGCCATAGTGGAAAAAGAAAGAAGCTTTGCTGATCTTTCAATGCACATGTCAGAACGGGTTTGCAGAATAATATTTGGTGCTGGATGCTTGCCACGTTTGGAAAAAATGTTGAACTTTTCGAAATTCCACGTTTGTTAGTCACAATATTGCATACCACACCGTGCCTGAACTGGTGTCGCATGGCATGGGATCTGTTACTGGAACCGGTTGCGGTTGTTGAATGTCAACATTAATCAAACCGTTGAAACTACGCTGCATTGTTTTTTTGTCGGAATCAAAGTAAAAACCTAAATTTCATGCTTGGGGTGGCATTGTGGGTTTGATTTATAATATAGGTTGAATCGAAACTGAATTGATTGCAAACCCTGATTCATTTTTTTTTGCAGATTTCGATTTGTGTCAATCGGGGTCACATCACAGTAATGGCGTTGGTTTTGACCTAGGTTGATTGACGTGTTTCAAATCTGTAAAACATGAATTTTATGTACTCGGTTTTGGGTGGATGGTAATGTTGCATTTCAGAGCGTTGATCGTTGTGATTGTATTTGCATGATTGTCTTTGGTTTGACGCTGCTTGGGCTTCGAAGTGTTGTTGTTTCACACTGTTCGTGACAACCTTGTGTTTGTAGCAAATTGCAACAAACCGGGGCCAATAGTGATGTTTGCAAAAAAAATGAAACAACAAATCCAGCACCGCATTGTTGTGGCCAGCACGTGTTCCAACCAAAACGACCAACCTGAAATGTAATCCCAAAAAAAATCGTCAAAACTCTGACATGGAGGACGGCCCATCTCATTGTGGACGTGTTTTTTTTGTTCATTGAAAAAAATGGTCACATTTTGCCTGGAATTCGCCACGGCGCTTTGACTTTTCACCATTGTTCTTCACACAAATGGGGGTTCCTAAAATAAGGGTACCCTAAATCCATAAAAAATGGGATGTTCCATTGTAAACCATCCATCTGGGGGTACCCCCATTTACGGAACCTCCAAATCCAACCAACTGGTTAGTGGGTCATCCCAGGAGGACTTGGAAGAGAAAGTGGTGCAGATCTTGACACAAGTGGCGAGTGCCACTCAGATGCAGGGACCCAGCCGTGTGCAACAGGGACATTTTTGTAAAGAAAAATATTGGGAATCTGGGAATATGAGTCGTACTGCATCATATGATGAATCATATGTCATATGTAATGATTCAATCAATGTGATGCAATTGTTGTTGATTGGAAGGATATGATATGATCATTTGATATGGGAAAAATTATACCAATATAATCCATGTGAATTTGATTGTCCCCATCAAAAAATATCTAGGATTGGGAAACATAAAAAACTGCAATCAGCCGCGCAGACCGAGATTGGAGGTTCCAAAAGTATATAAAAATATTCTTTCGAACCAGACATGAGGGATGATGATTTTGTTCTAGAGGTTGCATGTATTTAATGACACATTTTTTTTGACAATTATCATGGTGGAATCCCATGAACCTGAAACCATCCAGCAACTGGACACCATCTACAACACCTACAACACCAAAAGAGCCGGTACTCAAACATAGCAATGGATAATCACCAATTTGTAGATGATTTTGTCATTAAAACCTTCTTGTATAGGGTACTTTCCAGCTAGCGGTGTTTGATTACCAGAGGGTAAACCTGGTGAATATCCCAGTAGGTATCCTTTATCAATGATTCACCATTATGAACTGGGATAATTATTGGGTGATATTCATATAATTATGGGCGATTATTCATGGGAAAATTCACCATTATTCACCATTAAACCACCATTCTTCACCCTTTTAAAAAACCACGATTTTCCCGATGAATTCCTACTTTCACTCCCATCCCCAGGGGACTGGTTCCCGGGAAGAGAAGAAGTCCGTGTTGGCGAAACTGAGAGATGGCTCGGTGCAGCAGGCTGCGGTGGATCCATACAGAATACATCCATCGTTTGGAATCCATAGATTTATGTTTGTCCAATGTTTGTTCTGATGGTTTTACAGCCCCGCACCAGATCTGCAAGTGCGGTGAGCGCTTGATCGGGCTGCGGCGCTACGACTTAGCCTACCAGGAGGTGGGCTCCGATGAACTCGTTCCTTGCGGATCCCGTTCGTAAGGGGTTGGAAATTCTATCTTTAACCTTTATTCAACATCCATTTACGAAGTGAAAAAACATCGGATAAGTCAGTCAAGTCATGTGGCTGCTAAACCTCGGTTAGTCTTGGGGATTATACTAGCTTACAAGCCAGTATCATGGATTATCATTATCCACTATGGAAATGCAGCGACGAAGCCATGTGGGATCGAAAGTCAACGGGATTTCACCCGACGGGATTGTAAGACAACCAGTCTGGGGATATAATTGGGATGTAATGCGGATGCCCCAAAGATAAATGCCCAATGATTGATTATTGGGTGTACCTTTACTTGGAATGATTTATGAGAGCCCCCAAATGGTGGATAATTGTCGATGGTCTGGGTTGATAATTGTGGGTTCGACATCATTATGTATATATATACACACAGATATTCAATGATATTTGCACGCTAAAAAAACACCATCAAAATAGCAGAAAAACGCACCTGCGCACCTTTTGTAGTCTTTGTTTTCGGCACATCTCTGAAGTCAGGTTCCATGGCTTAGTGAGTGGATAGGAAACCCATGGAATTTGCTTCCGGGCATCAAGAGGGTTTTCTATCTCATTATCCAACTAATTTGAATATGATAACTTCAAAAGTTTCAGGAGGAAGCTTTTAACCCCCAAAGATGGCAGGGTATGGTAACCTCTGATAGGATCACTTCAGTACTGCATTATTACTGCATGCAGCAACCCCCAAAGATACTGTAGGACAGTTGACCTGAGTTGACCTGGAAATGATGCTCTCGATCCTTCGAACCCTGGCCCCAGGTGTTCTACCGCTACTGTGACCGGGCCACGCAGTTGCGCTTAGAAGTTGAGAGGCTGGGCTGGGAGCATTCCTGGGTCCGATTGGGTCGAATGTCACTAGCAACTCTTATTTTTTCGGATCTTTGTTTGATTATTACCAGAAAGTCCAAGAAATTATGATTTATCAACATTTTCCAAGAAATTTCAAGTTGTTGGACACAATCTTAGCTTCTTGGACCTTGTGGTTTTCCTCTGTTTTCCCCGGCCATTTAAAGGTTTACTTTCCTGAAGTCTTGCCAGGAGTTGGCTGCCAAAGAAAGCACTTTCTTGGCACTTTCCTCCCGTTTTAGCACCTGATTCCCAAGAAAACTAGGGTGACGTGAATATTTCTTGGAACCTTCACCCCATAATTGCCATGATTCGTTTGGAAGGGACATCAAATTGTAGCCCAAGTGACCAAAAATTCGGGCAGAATCCCCACATGAAATCTCCGGCCCAGGAAGGACTTGGGTGACACACCCTCGCTAAAGGTGTCGGCCTGGAAACCTGGCTTACCCCCCAAATCATCCATTGATAGATTTGGTTTTCTATTCCAAATCCATAGACCATCCATAAACCATCCATAAACCATCCATAAACCATCCATAAATTGGGGATCCCCCTCCACTTATTGGACCCCCCAAAAAATGCGCAGTTTTAGTAGGATTGGAGTCTTGGATCTTTTTGTGCATGGGGATATCTCGGAGATTTGTCGGAGATATACCTAGAGCATGAGATGGAATGGGTTTTGAAGATTTGGGTCTGAAAATATCGGATAGCCAGAAATCACGATTTTAATTGAGAAAATGCTACAAAACCATTGGCATATATGGGGTATACTACTTTTTCGGAGAAAACCATTTGAATGGAACCTTGCCGAGATGACTTGATGGATTGGGTTGCCATACAAATCTCATCAAATCTCGATTTTTACTGTTTTCTTTTTTTTTTGTGAGGAAACAGATGGGTAAACTGGTAAACGCAATTTCAAAATATGTGTATATGATTATGTATACAATATATTATACATATATATGTATGTAAATAAATAAATAAATAAATATATATATATATATATGCAAAGTATATATATATATATATCCCAGAAAAAGTTTATATAAAGTTGGAATTGACAGGGAATCAACAAACCAGCAAGATGATTCTTCAACACGTTTCTCTTTTTTAACAAGCTGCCATTTTGATGTACCCTCCGGTAATGAAAAATGGCAAATGGACAATCGACAATCCCCGATGGATGACAATCCCATTCAATGCCCGTGGGGGATTTCTCGACAGCCCATCGCAGCTTGAAGGTTCTGCTGCGGTATCTCCTGGGTGCATCCTATGCCTTGTACCTGCAGACCATCCACCGCGACGATGCCGTGCTGAGGCAGATCTAGATCATCTAGATATATCTAGATCATGATGGACATGCGCTTCTGAAAAAAGGGACTGACTGGAATGGTGAACTTTGTTGTTGGTCTTGTTGTTGCTGTTGGAACTCTGACTCCAAAAATCGGGGGGACTCTGAGCCCGGCTGAACAAAAGTGGCACCTTCTGCGACTGCTCTCTGATGGCAACATGAAAACGTCCAGAAGATTTCCATATCGAATGTGTGAAAATCATCTGCATGACAGTACAAAATAGTACAAAAGTGATTCAAAGAATCGTGTAATGTGATAGTTGAAACCTATGGAGTCCACTTTCTCCAATAAATCTTTACACCCAAAATGAACTGCCAATTTTGGCGGTGACACGGCTCAGCCCACAGGTCAGACACAGTCTGGACGCCAAGCAGTTCTTTTGGGCCTGGAAGGTTAGAGCTTTGCAGCCTGAAATGGAGAGGTTTTCACTGGTTTTCAAGTATTCTGTTGCTCCCGGAATCTCGAAATTCCAGCTGGAAAAACATATTTGCTACGAATTCCCATGTCATGAATCTGAAACAAGACAAGTGACCCCCTCAACATCCTGGGTTTCAGAAGACCCAAAACATGACAAGGGTGATGGATTAAAACCAAAAAAACATTTCTTTTTGGATGAACCATTAACCAGCTATTTTGATTCCACGTGGTAGCAGTCTGACCCAGCAATTCTCGCTGGGCCTCCAAACCACTTGGATGAAAATTGACAAATTCTGGGCGACTGGGTCGCGTCTCAGTTTTTCTGGGTTCCTGTAAAGCAACCCAGATACTCACCATGTGAATATAAATATATGAATTTACATATATATATACATATATATACGGAACATTATATAACTTATAACATAATATATATATATATGTATATATATATATGTATATATATGTATATATATATATGTATATATATATGTATATGACGTTAAGCTGGTCATCGAACGTTTTCATTCTCAAGCTCCATGGTAGGATTTGATGTTCTCCTCAGGTCCTTCCAGCTAGCGGTTGAGGGTTCAAGAACTAACTACTTCGGGTTAGGGTGTCCGGTGTACTGTTTTCAGCCCAGCTTTGCCACTTACCTTCTGACCCTCTTCCTTGGATTTGCTCTTGGACTTTCCTCAGCTGTCCTGGGTCTGTGGCTCTGCTGGAAACACTTCGGGACCATCCTTTTGCCTGTGCCCTCGCCTCCATCATCTTCTGACCATTCCCGCACCTCTGATCGTTACTCAGCACTTGCTGGGTACGTTAATGAGCACAAGCAGTCAAGACGGCGAGGTGTTGGAACTTAGCTGTTGGTTGGGAGAACTCCAGATTTCCATCAAGGGCCCTGCTGACCCTGCTACCCGTCTGCTGCGCCAGCTCACCCGACCTGGGTCCATTGCTGCTGCTTCTCCTAGGAGCACTTTGGGTTCTTTTGAGGTGGTCTCCAACGTGGATTCACAACCTGAGGAGATCCCCCGTGAGTTCAGGGATTCTATTGCTTCCAGTTTCAGCCCTTGCCCAGCGGAGCAGTTGCACTTGGCGGCGAGACTCACCGGTTCAACGTTGTCAGGTGAAGACAGAGTGCGGCGGGCTTGGAAAGCCGGTCAGTGGGCAAAGGCGGTGTTGGGTGGTCGCATTTGCACTCCTAACAGGTCTGTGCAGCTGGACATTAGGCCTCGCTTCTACGCAATTTTGCGAGCAGAAGGATTGTCCAAGCCTTTGCTTTGCCACTCCGCTGCCTCTTATTGGAGAGTCATCGGGGACATTGCTACGTCCAATTCCATCTCTCACGCCTTTCCCAGTGAGAGTGAAGCCAAGATTTATTTTGCGGGAGCGGGAGTTACTGACTACGAGGTCAGAGCCTAGCCTGAACAATGGACACTCTGGACGGAGTTTCCTACTTGACTGCGGAGGACATCGTGCTTGCCTCCGAGGCGGTTGTTCCCTATGTCCTCACTTGGCCCCCTCCGGAAGAAGGAGAAGAGCCTACAGAATGTTCCGTTTTGGTGCTTATGAAACGGGAGGGTGGACTCCTGTTAGCACTTCCCAGCATGTTTCTTGCAGAGGACGTGATAGATGCTGGCAACACAGGAGACGGGCACGCAATTTTCGGGCCGTCCCTGAGAACAGTTGTTCCTTTGGTTTTGGAAGATGGAGGAGTTGTTTCACCTACAGGCATGGAAGCCGAAGTTTTGGTGGTGGACTGCACGGATCAGGTCCTGTTTCACATGCGAGCCTTCGACCAAAGCGAAGAGGCCGTCTTCAGTTTTGACGAGGATTCGCCTTTTGCGTTTCCAGCATTGGAGAGCCTTCTGGCAGGCGTCCGAGCTTGGGCACGGGAGTCTTCCGAGCAGCGCGCTGCCTTCTACACGCCAGACGAAGAGGAGGAGCTTCCTCCCCTGACTCCAGACAGGCCTACACGAAGGCGAAGCGCCACTCCAAAAGCGGCTACGCCTATCGCAGGTGGTGCAAAGCCCAAAAGGATCACCACTGCTGCCTTGGCCTCGGATCTGCATTCACTCATGGGGAGCCTGCCAACAATGACCCAGCAATTGACCCGCCTTGTGGAGCGGCAGGATGCTTTGGAGGCTCAGCTCCCCAAGATGCAGTCAGCTTCAGCTTTGGCGATTGGCCATCCACTGGGGATGGCGCTCAGCAATCCAACTGGAGGCCCCTCTATGGCGGCAAAGGCTGTTCAACCTCCGCCGAGAACGGCTACCAGACCGAACCTTGGTTTGTTGGCTTCTCCACAGATTTCCAAGCCCTTAGAGTTGCAGGCGTTAGAGGAGGAGAAGCCTTTGCAGGAGGTGGAGTCTGGCCTGACTTCAGACAATGCGTTGGCCCGAGCGGTTTATGCTCAAAGCCAGGCTTTGACCACTCTGGTCGCCCAAATTGCCCAGGCTCAGCAGGACCCTATGACCGATTTGACCATGGGGGCAGGAGGTGCTTCGACCAGAGGAGCTGCTGGAAGAGCGAGACTGCAAGCGGAGCTGGCCTCACATCGAGGCACTTTCTTCAGAGCAGTCACTCAAGCCATGTCCAGACGCATGGCCCCAACCAGTTCAGCAGATGTGACGCCGCAGGAGCTGGTGGACAAGGGCATCTGTGGAGTCAGATACCTCGAGAGATTCGGGGGCTATGGGCGGCACCGCGAATTGGGTCAGCTCCAGTATCAGGTGATGACAGCTTTCGATTTCATGATGTGTGGGAACATGGAAGCTGCGAAGGACACAGTGGCCTTGTTGGCTGTGACGATAGAGCAGGCATCATTGGACAATGGTCGTATGGAGCTGGCCACACTGCTTTGCCTTCAGGAGGACCCACCCAGCTCAATTTTTGTGAACAGAAGCCTGACGGCCACTTCACGGGCCCGCAGCTTCGCTCCATTAGCGGATCAAAAGTGGGTCACTGTGGCACTAGCCTTTTTGAAAGAGATGGAAGTCATTACGGCCAAACGAGCCGAACTGACGGGCGCCTCAACCAAATGGGCTTCAGAGACTTCGTCAGACGTCGTGGGGGCCACAGCAAAGGCAAAGGCAAAACCCAATGCAAAGAAGAAAGGCAGAGGAAAGGGCCAGGCACAACAAGCGGGCCTAGAAGAGACAGAGGCTTGAGCACACCACCATGGAGTTTTTCTACTGATGGTTGCAACAATTTTTCTGAGGGGCCGGAGCCAAACCCTCTCTTAGCATCCACCAGTTTTTGCAAGTGGGCCATTTGTTTGCCCAGAATGATTGCCAGGAGCCGTACGAGGTTTGCCTGGCATTTGCACAGGTCTTTCACTGCGACTTGGCGGACATCCAGTTCGTCTACCACAACTTTTCCATTGCCAGTGCCGCATCCAGGATGCTTCAGTGGTGGTGGCCCCAGACTCTCCAAACGAAGACTTGCGGCCCTTGCTCAAAAGCGTTTGCTGCACATCACTGTCTTTTGCCTGAATTATTTGTATTTGGGTAGGTTTCCAAGTTTGGATGAGATTGGGAGGCGACCGAATGCATGGCAGCTGAGATGTTTTGCTAGGCTACGGTCACTTTTGGTTGTGAGCGGGAGCGACTCCTCAGAGTTTCCCCTGGTTCCGGGTCGTTCCGGCCCAGACCTTGCTGCTGCTATTTGGCAGCTTGAGCATTTTGTTTCCAACAATCAAGAGCTGCGCCAAAGCTATGCACAGACGAAACCAGTACAGTTTGAAGAGGACCCTGAGCTCTGCCCGGTCAGTGAACACCCTGAACTTCAGCCCTACAAAAGCTTGGATGCAGGGCGACTCAAGTTGGTTGGCGAGGGAGCATGGCCAATTGAAGAGTACATCAGCGGAGTACTTTGGATGCCTTTTCAAGAGCCCCGTTTTCTTCTTCATGGGCAATGCACCCAAGGGGCGCAGGTGCCCGCCTTTCATCTTGAGTCGAAAGAGGAAAACCTGCGGCTTGCGAAGATCTGGGATGCAAAGGGCCTATTGAGGCTTTTTAGAGGACCTTTACAGGATGGACATTTCTGCCGTGTTTTCAATGCTCACAAGTCCAACGTAGTTGACAGGCAGATTGGTGACCGACGGGTACCCAATGCGCGAGAGTTCTCGGTTGATGGCCCATCAAGGCACCTGCCTCCAGGCTTTTTGCTGACAAATTTGCGGGTCAAGCCTCTTCAGCAGCAATTGAGGGGTAGCATCACGGACCGCAGGGATTTCTATCATCAAGCTAAAGTTTCAGAAGCTCGGGCAAACTCCAATTTGCTACCTTTCCAGTATCAGGCCGATGAGCTCACTGGATGTGTAGCTTTGGCACGAGCTATTGAGCAAGAGCAAGCAGCAAAGCGGAGGGGTTCAGCCAATAGGCAACTTCATGGAGACGGTTTTGGCATCGAAGCCATTGAGACACATGACCACGGCAACAGATGGTACGTTGGTTTTGGGTCACTGTTTCAGGGAGACCACCTTGGTGTTGAATTTGCTCTTCAGGCCCATGAAACTCTGCTGGTTGATGGGGGTTCCTTGGATGAGAAGCACCGCCTGAGGGGCCATGCTTTATTTCCACTTGCCCAGCGTTGGGAGGGACTGATCATTGATGACTACTTTGCCATTGGTGCAGAGGAGGTCGGTCAAGACCCTGAGGAGTCATTTGCTCATCATGCTCTTCTCCATGCACGCAGCACTTATGAGAAAAGCGACCTGCCGGGTTCACCAGAAAAGGATGTAGTAGCAGCTTGCTGTTTCAAGGCCGCTGGTGCAGAGATCGTCTCCTCGGAAGATGCCGTCAAGCGTGGCGTTACGTTGGTTGCTGCACCTTTGGCGAAGCGCATCGCCCTCTCTTCTCTGAGTTTGAGGGCGGCATCCCTCCCCATTTGTAGTGCGAAGGTGCTCTCAAGGTTGGCAGGCAATTGGACCTCTGTGTTGATGTACCGTAGATGCATGATGGCTATTGTAGACAACTTGTTTGCTGAAGCAGCATCTGCAGAACGATACGGCGTCAACTGTGCCGTTCCAATGACCAAGACAGTTGCTGAGGAGCTCGCCTTGCTGAGTGCGTTGGCGCCAATTGCGGCCTCCAATGTTGCAGTTGATTATGTGGAAGAGATATTTGCGTCTGACGCTTCTCTTGGGCGTGGTGCAGTTGTCTCCACAAAGATCGATGAGAACCTAGCCGAGGTGCTCTGGCTTGGCAGTGACAAAAAGGGGTGCTACACACGCCTCGATGGAGTTGGCCTTGCTACTCTTGCTGCTGCTGGGGAGGAGATTCATGACCTCCCTACTGCTGACCCTATCAACCATCCTGAGTGTCCTGATGAGCATCCGTACAAGTCGCCTCTCCTCTACTTCGACTTTGTGGAGTTCTTTGGGGGAGCAGCCAGGGTCTCAAAGTGCCTCGCGGAGCTTGGTTTTACAGTTGCCCCACCTTTGGATTTGAGCATGTCTTCCCACTACGACATGACTGATTTGAGAGTCATTGAATGGTGCATGCATATGATCGCATCAAAGAGGTTCAGGGCTTTCCTCACGGAACCGCCTTGCACAACTTTCAGCCCTGCAGCTCATCCAGCAGTGCGGTCATATAAGCAGCCAGAAGGTTTTGACAGGCTCAACCCAAAGACCCTCACCGGCAACATCTTAGCCTTTCGATCCTTTGCCCTGCTGAAGGTAGGCTACAGACACCGGCGCCCATGTGGAAAAGAACAGCCTCGACTTAGCAAGATGGCATGGTTGAGGTTCTGGAGTACACTCATTGCTCTGGGTTTTGAAGAGTCGGTCATAGCCTCGTGCCAGTTTGGTTCCCCACACAGGAAGGAGTTCAGATTCCTCACATACCTGTTGGATTCCTCAAAGCTTGAGACCAGGTGTCCTGGAGGCCACCAGCACATTAGAATCCAAGGCGCCTACACCAAGCAGTCAGCAGTTTACACTTGGGAGCTATCTAGGCACCTAGCGGAGGCCTTCGCAGCAGCGTTGAGGCGAGATGCGGCCCTTGACCGTGATGCTCCCAGCGTTGATGGCTACGAAAGCATAGTCATCAATGACCTGCTCATTGCCAACGAGTGGATTCAGGAGAAGTGCTGGTGTTGGAAGAAAAAGAGCCACATCAATGTTCTTGAGAGCCATGGAGGTTTAGCTGTTTTGGATATCGTTGCAAGGCGTTACAGCAATGTGAGATTCAATGCCCTCCTTGACTCCAGAGTTGCAAAGGGCTCGCTTGCAAAAGGCAGATCTACATCAGCCGGCCTCCAACGGGCTTGCAAGAGATCAGCCGCTCTTCAGCTTTCGGCTGGTTTATACCCTGGCTGGGGTTTTGCCCCCACCAGATTGAACGTTGCTGATGATCCAACAAGAGGGCAGAAAGTGCGTGCCCCATCAAGCGCCCCTCTCATCAAGTTCTTTGGAGCGCAAGAGATTCAGAAGTTGCACGCACCTGGACTTGTGCGATGGGCCGCAAATTGGGCAAGACTTGTCATCCTGGTCCACCTTGCATCGTCTCTGCCTTGCACTGAAGCTGGCATTGCGCATGGTCCTGATGTCTTCTCTGACTTTGGATTTTACCCCCCTTCTCTTCCACAGGTCACCTCTTTCACAAGCTGTCTGCCTCACGAGTTTCCTGGACTTAGCCTTCTTTGCACCGGGCATCCTGCCTCATTTGGATTTCTTCTTCTTGGATTTTGCCTCACTGTTCTGACCTTAGCCCTAGCTGGACTCTGGACTCACAAGGGAGGTAGGTTTTTAGGTCATGCCCCTTTGAGGTTTTGGATTTTGGTAGCCGGCGGGTTTAGTTTAGCTCATGCCATGGAACCTACCTCAGCGCTGGAGCGATCCCGCGCACAGGCGCGAGCTGGAAACTGCCCACTGCCGACCAGGGTTGTCCGGAAACAGACTTTGGATTACAGATCAGGGCTTCTGAAGAATTTTGCAATTTGGCTTTTTGATCAACATGGCCTTCTGCTTTCGCAGATGTTGACTGCAAAGCCACCTGATGCAGAGGAGATTGCGAATTGGTTAGTCGAATACGGAAAAGCCATGTTTTCTGCTGGTAAAGCTTATGGTAAGTATGCTGAAACCATAAACGCAATCTCAACGGCCAGACCAATCATCCGCAAACAACTGGTAGCAGCTTGGGACTTTGCCTACGCTTGGTTGGCTGACGAGCCCTTCCAGCATCATCCAGCGATGCCGTTAGCGGTGTTGTTAGCAATGATGACAACTGCAGTTGTTTGGGGATGGCCGCTCGAAGCAGCCATCATTGGACTCACCTGGGCGGGTATCCTACGGATTGGCGAAGTCTTTTTGGCCCTCCGTCAGGATCTCATCCTACCCAGAGACTCAGCACCAGGAGTTGTCTTTGGAATGCTACGAATTCGGTCACCGAAGACACGTGGAAGAGCAGCCAGGCATCAAGCTGCGCGCATAGATGCACCAGACCTTTTAGCATTTTTGGACGCTGTTTTTGGAGACATGCGCCATGATGTGAAGTTGTGGCCGTTTTCAGCAGCCACATTACGAAAAAGATTTGGTGATTTGTTGCGAGCAGTTGGTTTGCCTACAGAAAGAAAGGGAAGCCTGAAGCCTTTTGATCTGGGCTCCCTCCGGCCAGGAGGAGCCACCCACTTGCTGATACAGTGTGAGAACAGTGAGATTGTCAGGAGAAGAGGCAGATGGGTCACCACCAAAGTCATGGAAGTATACTTGCAAGAGGTGATGTACACGACGTACACAGAGAGACTGGATGGACCAACCAAAGCCAAAATAGCAATGCTTGCAGGATCATTCAGCAAGACCATTGAAGAGGCAATTAAACTTCTTCAAGCGGCAATTCCACCTACAGCGTGGTTTTCTCTTTTCCAGGCCAATGACCCCAGGGAGCTTGGAAGGCATGGGAGTAATGGATGAATTCAGTCAGCTTTTGAGCATGAAACTGCTTTGCTGACGTGTGGACTTTTGCAGTCGCAGTGAAATAAGCTGAGTGCAGCCTGCTTGACGTTAAGCTGGTCATCGAACGTTTTCATTCTCAAGCTCCCCCTGCCCTAGACTTAAAACCCCGCCCTTGGATGGGCTCTTGGCCTGGGATGAATTCAGTCAGCTTTTGAGCATGAAACTGCTTTGCTGACGTGTGGACTTTTGCAGTCGCAGTGAAATAAGCTGAGTGCAGCCTGCTTATATATGTATATATATATATATATTATATATATATATTATATTATGTATTATATATATATTATATGCACTGTTACACTGTATACACTGTATACACTGTATACACTGTATACACTGTATACACTGTAAACACTGTATACACTGTATACACTGTATACATACATAGATACATAGATACATACATACATGCATGCATACATACATTACATTACATTACATTACATTACATTACATTACATTACATTACATTACATACATACATACATACATGCCATGACACAACATGCCATGCCATGCCATGCAATACCAGTACAATACATTGCATATGCGAAGTTTAGCTTCGGGCATCATCCCAACCCAAGGCTCTCCAAGTTTGCCCAGGTAGATGTCTTGCGAGATGCTCTGAAGGACGTCCTTCATGTGGTGGAGATTTTTAGCGCCCAATCAGAAGCCCGGGAACCCAGAACCCGAAACCGTAGCCTGGACCCCCGTCGATTTTTTGATGTTTGAAAAGTGGGACTCAATGGACCGTGGAGAGAGACAGGGACCACGACCAGGGGAACCTCAGGCGATTCGAGAGGAGCTCTATTGGTGCCTCTACAACAGCAGCCTTCTGGCAGTACGTGGGGATCCCCAGAGGTCCAACAAAAATTGCGATCCTGAAATCCTACCAAACCCAACAAAAATGAAGCCTTCCAAGAAACATCACTGGGATCGTTGATGGAAGTTGTCACAACTAATCATAAGTATTCAATTATCCAAAGTATCTCACAAATATGCATCAAAACAATCTGAAACATCCTTTTCTCAGTGGCCGATATCCCTGTGCTAGGCATGTGTCGCTGGTTGCGCCTACATGGCTTTCCTCAGCTATGCGTCCAGCCCTTGTGGCTGTTGCTTGGTGGATCCAGTGGGAGACAGGTCGAGTGATTTCCCCCAATGTCGGTATGGAAGTGAGGGATCTCCCCATGATTTCCCCCACAATTTTTGGGTTCCAGGGTTCCAGGGTTCAGTTGGATTTTCAGTTGCTTTTCAGTGGATTCGAATTAAGGCATTGAGGCCTTAGGGTCCCACCGATTTCAGGATTCTTAGCCGCTGGACCTGACCTCTCCGCGCCGGTCGCGTCAGGGAGCCACACCTGAGGTTAGTGGAGTCCATGCACACCTGCCTTCCATTGATGGCGGTCCACATGATCCCTTTCCGCAGCCGGGTGATGCTGGAGCCGAATCGGAGCTTTTCTTTGTGAGTCCTAGAGCAACCGAAAAAAAGAGTAGAACTCAAATAGCAGTAACTTGCTCTTCTATCTTTCTGGGGGTTTACATTGGAAGCCTACCACTAGTGAAGTTTATCGGTGGGATAGTTTGGTTTTGTGCCATGGCAGGCAGTGAGAGCGTTGACAGAAATGGCGCTCAAAGGAAAGCAGTTGGGCAAAGATCTGGTCCCTTGAACCATTTCTGGCTGTTCAGGAAATCCTCTCTAAATGACTGGTTGCAGCTTTGAAGTTATTCTCCATCCCTATAGGATGTTCCACAGTCCCTCTAGAAACGCGACTTAACTCTCAACCATCAGTATATTGGTTATACTTTGAGTTATAGTGATATACCCTGACAGCCACCCTTTGGTAAAGCTGGACAATCTACCAGCACCTCCAGGAGCTCGCCGCCTGCGCGGAAGCTGCCAAGCAATTGGGCGAAGCCGCCCGTCGGGGCACCCGACTGCTGGCAGTGGGATAAAGTGAAGGAATGTTTCTGGAGATTTGAGAGATTTTGAAAGTGATGATATCTCTACTAATATACTAATGTCATCTAATGTCTATACATCCAACAGAGACGTTTTTTGATTGGCCGCAAAAAAGGAAAGTGGATGGGCAAGGAGTTGCACATGAGATCCGGTGGCTTTTTTTCAGCCCCTTTTGACCAACCATTTGGGGGTTTCCAAAAATATAGGGGTACCCCCAAATCATCCATTTCTAGCTGGGAGTTTCCCTTCTAAAAATAAACCATCCAGCTATTGGGGATCCGCATGTATGGAAACAGCCAAAATTGTTGTATTGTCATTTTTGTTGTACAAAAACATTTCGCACCAAAAAAAACTCCGGTCAAGTATCCAAGATTTGCTGGCTGAGATTCCCTTCACCATTTTCAGTTTTTGCTTGTCAGGGGTTTCAACAACTTACATTTTTCCGACCCTACTCTTGATGCTTTTGTCAAGTAACGGGCATATATTTGCCTGGGTAGAAGTAGCAAGCAGAAACTATCCCGGTGCATTTCGAGTTCGCCATGTTCACTTAAATTTTATCGAGGTATCAGTCCAGCATAACCTACTGCTGCCAGCTGTCTCACTGGTTCTCACTGGTTTCAGGTGCCTGTGTGGTGGCACAAGAACACATTGAAAAGGCCAAGAAGTTGGAGACGATGCTGTGGCTCGAACGCTGGTGCGAGGGGACATTCTGCACATTCCCCATTTTCTCAATGGCCATTGAAATGGGAACCTCATCTATGTATATATATATATTATATATTGTATATATATTATAATATACATATACATATATATATATATATAAATATATATATATATATATATACATACATGGATGATTCATGGATGATTTTCATCATCTCTGGATGGATTTTCCACTGAGGCCATGGATTTTGCACCAAACGAATGCAGTGAAACCAGTGGGTGAAACTGGGGTGCTTCGACTTTCACGAGCTCAGTAAGTAAACATGAATCAGTGTGTTTCTTCAGGTGCAGGTCTTAAAGAGTTTTACAAAGGCCTACATCGATGGGTTGGAAATTCAGGCGAAGTGTTCTTCTTTCGGACTTGCAGTTTTTGATTGGAGTGTCCGCGTTGTACCAGTGCAGGTAATGTGGGGGGTTCTATCATTTTTCTTGAGGGTTGCTGCTTTCCATTGTTTCATGCAAGTCTCGGGTACACCCAGAAGTCATACCTGCCCGACTTATTTTTCAAGCTTGTTCTTGTTCTTGGGGGTTTCCTGAACCACCAAACGGCCGTGTATCAAACCCGTGGCACCACGATTTTCGCATCAAATAGCTGGTAGTGAGCTGGATCATCGAGATAGAAAATCACTGAAAGCCCATCAAAATCAAAGAAACTCCTGAACATCAATTAAAAACAACGAGGGTCAACTTGGTCAACCAAAATCAATGAAAAAAACAATAGTTTTGACTGATCCCCTGGGAGATCTTTAGCCCCAAGGCCACCCGTCCCAGCAGAGACCACCAAACTTTTCGAGGCACGGTCTGTGAGATTTTCGGATGAACAGACAGAGTTTGCTCCCCTATGTCACTGCAGAGTTTGCTGTTTCACATTGCAAACAATGCAGAGATGTGTCGCAATCTGTGGAGAATTTCCTTGTTGTGTATTCCACCAAAAATAGAACTGCCATGGCAAACTTTGGGGACCAAAGTTTAGCATTGAGACAGCTGTCATGGAGCGGATTTCGGGATCAGACAAAGCACTGGGACCGCTGCGCGTAGCTCCAACTCATCGTCTTCCAGTATTTTAAGTGGGGCAACTTTGGGACCCTATTTTTTGAGAAGCCACATTGGGTCCATGAACCAGTTGTTTATTCTTCCAATCCGAGGGCAATTGGGGTCTCTTCACACTCTCAGAATCTGACATGGCAACTGAACATCCCCCAGTTGCAAGTATCTACATATTGACCACCAGTGCTTCCGTTTGCCATGTTTGTTCACTGTGGGGTACGGGGTATCCCTCCTTTAGACCATTCAGCATATGTCCCATGTTGCAACAGCGTCCAATGCCAAACGCCGCTCGCACAGAGGGTCAGAGAGAAGGCATGTTCCATGATGCAAGGACCAAGGAATGACTTTCAAGTTGCTTCGAATGCTTCGAATTCCGCATATCAGTTGATGCCGAGGGATACCAACTTACAGATGGTTTTGTCCATCGTTTTTTCATGTTTTTTCCATCATTTCTCTAAGTCCTCAATGCTGTTCTCAACGCGATTCCCAGATTGGGAGAACATGGGAAGAGGGCCCCCAAGAACAGAAGGTAAGACGACAGCCTACCCGGTCTACCCCTAAACTCTCCAGACTTGGCTCGACTTCAGGGCTGGTGTTCATTTTCAATCTTTTTGAACCACTCCTGTGCCATGGCGCAATAGGATGACTATCATGGCCTTTGCCCCTCGGTTGAAGGGTGGAAACCGAGCACCGGAAGAGATTGGTAGCCAAAGTTTGAATACTCCGGTCGAAATACTGGTTCAGTATTGGATCAATTGGATCGATTCATTTTTGAATCCCCAGGAATTCAGGGTATTTGAAGATTATAGTTCTATTCACTGTATGTCATCAGTCAAAGGAAACTTAGACGCTATACCGCTATACTTGCGTGTTACGGAGTTTTGAACAGCAAAGATCAAAGAAGAGCAGAGGGCAAAGACAAGCAAAGGCAAAGAAGAGCAAAGAGCGAAGAAGAGCAAAGAGCAAAGAAGAGTAAAGAGCACACAAGAGCAAAGAGGTCAAAGAGCAAAGAAATGCAAAGAGCAAAGAAGAGGAAAAAGCAAAGCAAAGCAAAGAGCAAAGAAGGGCAAAAGAGCAAAGAAGAGAAAAGTGCAAAACAAGTTGCAGGTTTCGAAGGAAGTCTCGCACGAAAACTTCGTTTTCACAACTTCAACTTCCAGTTCTTGAAGGAGGTTTTGCGCGAAAGCTTCGTTTTCGCAAGTTCAAGTTGCAGTTTTGAAGGAGGTCCCGCACGAAAGCGTTGTTTCCCGACGTCAACTACGGTAGCAGTTTTTGAAGGAAAGCCTCGAAGAAATTTTAAAGGAGGTCTCGCACGGAAGCGTCGTTTTCACAACTTCAACTTGCAGTTTTTGAAGGAGTTCTCGCACAGAAGCGTCGTTTGCACAACTTCAACTTGCAGTTTTTGAAGGAAGTCTCGCACGAAAGCTTCGTTTCCACAACTTCAACTTCCAGTTCTTGAAGGAGGTTTTGCGCGAAAGCTTCGTTTTGGCAAGTTCAAGTTGCAGTTTTGAAGGAGGTCCCGCACGAAAGCGTTGTTTCCCGACGTCAACTACGGTAGCAGTTTTTGAAGGAAAGCCTCGAAGAAATTTTAAAGGAGGTCTCGCACGGAAGCGTCGTTTTCACAACTTCAACTTGCAGTTTTTGAAGGAGTTCTCGCACAGAAGCGTCGTTTGCACAACTTCAACTTGCAGTTTTTGAAGGAAGTCTCGCACGAAAACTTCGTTTGCACAACTTCAACTTCCAGTTCTTGAAGGAGGTTTTGCGCGGAAGCGTTGTTTTCACAACGTCAACTTGCAGTTTTTGAAGGAAGTCTCGCACGAAAGCTTCGTTTTCACATTGTCAGGTTGCGGTTTTTGTAGGACATGTTTGAGAGATAGCAGACGCAGGGAATTGTATCCTTTGCAGGACAAAATGTGCAGAAGATGGATGGGGAAGGTCTGCCGCGCGGCCGGTGCGAGACGGTCTTGGGCTATGTTTGGATCATGCTCGGATCAGGTCGAATTGGTCCTGCAGTGGAACTGACGGTTCAGGCTTCGTTTTCGCAACTTCAAGTTGCAGGTTTGGAAGGAAGTCTCGCAAAAAAACATCGTTTTCACATCTTCAACTCCCAGTTTTTGAAGGTGGTCTCGCACGAAAGCTTCGTTTTCACAACGTCAACTTGCAGTTTTCCAGGAAGGCCTCGCAGGAAAGTTTCGTTTTCACAACTTTAACTTGTGTTTTGAAGGAGGTCTCTCACGGAAGCGTCGTTTTCACAACTTCACCGTACGGTTTTTGAAGGAGGTCGCGCACGAAAGGGTCGTTTTTACAAATTTGCAGCATCGTCAGGTTGCGGTTTTTGAAGGAGGTCTTGCAGGAGGTTGCGCAAGGTGACGAAGATTAGTTTTAATTATTATGTTTTTTTTTGGGCTTTTCATAATCTTCAAGATCTTCAAGGTTGGAGTTTTTTGGTTTTGGCGCTGAGATCTGGTTTTGGAGCATGTTTTGGACAGGAAAAACTTCGTACTTGCGAACATAATGCTATGGTGCTTGCAAATCCCAATGGGGTGCCTACGTCAATGTTGTTCTGCGTTGTGGTTGCGCATACAATTCTTTGGCCTTTGCAACCTGCAAATCGCACTGGAGTGGCCGCGTCAATGTTGTTCTGCATTGTGGTTGCGCAGGTACAGTAGTTCTTTGAAGTTTTGCAACTGCGTGTTTGCAAATCGCAATGGGGTGGATGCATCATGCTTGCTCTGCCTTGCTGTCGTGCATGTAGTTCTATGGTCTTTTGCAATTTGCTGCTTGCAAATCGCATTGGAAAGGTTGCGTTGCGACAATCAGTTTTTGAGGATTTTTTTTTTGCGTTTTCGTCGCTTTCCATTTCTTTTCTAAATTCCATTTAAAAAACTTAAAAAGTGCGTTTGTTGGTTTTGGCACTGAGATCTAGTTGTTGAGCAGGTTTTGGGCCAGAGAAGAGCTGAACTAGATGACTTGAGATGAACTGAGATGAGGTGAGAGGAGGTGACAAGAGCTGAGATAAGCTGAGAAATTGCGAGAAGAGCTGAGATGAGCTGAGCAGATGTGAGAAGAGGGGAGAGAGAGAGAGAGAGAGATGAGAAAACATGAGATAAACTGAGATGAGAAGAGGAAAGTGGAGAAGAGCTGAGATGAGCTGAGATGAGATGATATCTGATGTGAGCTGCGAAGAGCTGAGAAGTGCTGAGAAGAGTTGAGATGAACTGAGATGTGCCAAAATAAACTGAGATAAACTGAGATGAGATGAGATGGGATGAGTTGATACGAGATGAGATGAGAGGAGAGGAGAGGAGAAGTGAAAAGAGAAGTCGGAGGACTGAGGCGACTGAGGTGTCAAGAGATTGTTTCTGCAAGGCACGGGGCTGTTGCCCACATCCTATAAGCACGTTCTGTTTTCGGCTCTATAAGCCTTGAAATTTCCGCCTCGGGCTTGCCCGGGCACTACTTGTACTGTATATCAAAAATCAGCATATATCATAGTTACTATCATATACAGCTAAAGTCACCATATATCAAATAATCAAATATGTATATATATATACATATATATATATATACACATCACATAGGTCAATGATTGTCACGCTTTCATGATGATGAAAAAACCATGGCAAAACCACCATTTGATTATCTCAAAGGGTCATCTCAGGACGGCAAAGCACCGCCAGGCACCGGCTTTCGTCGTTCCGGAGGGAGTCCCTTGAACGTTTGGCCAACAAATATCATAGTTCAATGATGTTTGGTGATTTCATGGGATACCACCAACTTGTAAAGCTATATCATTGATATCATGCATTCATATGAATCTGGTTTGGTGTGTCTGTAAATGGGAAATATATTATTGATCTATGACTTAACCATTTTATAACCCTCAGCCCGGAAGTTTCTGCCTTTGCTAGCGCAATTGGGAGGTAGAATCCAATGAATGTTGTTTTTTCTTGATCCTGGCCGAACAAAATCTACAAACCCCATTGCCCAAATACTACAAGCGAGCTCGCGGAAACAATGGGTAAGTAGACCTTTGGTATTGCTAAATCACCAAAAAACTGTTCAGATCCTCAATGTCAATGACTGTTGACATCCCAGCATATAAAACCGAAGCAGACCCCAAATTTAAAATATCCTATTAGCCTTGGTGGTTCATACCAAGGGCCGGTATTAGCCGAGAATGCCATCTTACTAGATAAAACAAGACTGTTATATTGCACTACTACAAAAATCGCATCTGGCAAAAAGAGAAAAACAAATGCAACAAAAACTAATAACAAATAAAATGGCCGAAAGCGACACACGTCTGCAAATGCCTTTGGCTAGTTGCACTTGAAATGCTATACTGAAATAGTTCAGAACTAATTCAAAGACCTGTTGACAAGTTTGAGGATAATTCGTACAAACAATTCATAATTAATTCATATTAATTCCATTAGTTAGGTGTTTCCAATCTGTTTCCATTCACAGCGGAGCTTCGTTCAGCTGATCTTAGCATGGTTCCAGGACGTTTGCGGAGGGGGTAATGATAATCCATGGGATTCGAGGACATGTATAATCATGTATCCATGCACAGCTGTAGATTTATATATAATGTGTAGTAAGTAATGTGTAGTAACTGATATGTAACAAATCATATGCTATATGGAATATCTAATAGATGCAATACGTATATGATAGATGTAAGATGCAATATGTAGTAGTATGTGGAAGTGCAGTCATATGCAATGATACGCCATATTGGGTAATAAAAGGCAAGAACATGTAATGATATGTAGTACTATGCAATAGCAGGTATTAATTTGTAATAATTTGTAACAATGTGCAGCAATATGCAATATGCATATGTGAATGTGGTTGGGTATACTTGGTCAAGTCCCCTTTGCAGTGTGTCTAGCATTGCATCCTATTGAAACACCTGGAACCAATTTTAGTTGTCCAATAAGCTCCAAGAAGGGCTATTGGATTCCAGACATAAAAAATTACCTGTATTTATACGCAATACCAGTGGATAGATGTTGGAGCTGTTTTTGCAGACTTATTCCAAGAGCTTTCGGAGAAAACCATGGATTTCCATACACTTTTTCACACCAACTGGTGGATATTCCCTGCTCATTTTTCGCTTGTAAACGGAGCGACCCTGGTCCGGCGTGCCGCAGGTCGTGACCGTGCCATGTCAGATGATGCGGATGCGGATGCCCGTCCCAAGCCGAGGGGTTCCCCTGGCTGCGGGAGGGTCAAACGTTTGAAACTTTTGCCTCCGGAGCCCAGGCTTAACAGTGGACAGGGAGTGTCTAGCCGACAGGTGCGGGCGCTGTTTCTACGCCAGGTTTTTGGGTGTGTTTGTGCTCAAAAATCCACTAACATGTGGCGGATGGTCGTTCTGCGGAAAATCCCCACTGGTTTCTCCCTGGCTGAGGGTTTGTTTGAAACTTGGGGAAGGATAAATATCAAGTGTGCATCTATTTTTTTTTGAGAAGTTGAAAGAGCGCGTTTTTTAATGATCTCTCCCTCTCTCTCTCTCTGTCTTTCTTTCTTTCTTTTTCTTTCTTTTCTCTCTCTGCCTCTCGCCTATTTGATAGAATACATTTCATGTACTGCATTGTAATGTGTATAGTGTATAGCGTATAGATTATATATACACCTGGTTGGTGCTTTGGAACATTTTTTATTTTTCCATATATTGGGAATGTCATCATCCCAACTGACGAACTCATATTTTTCAGAGGGGTAGGTCAACCACCAACCAGACACATGTATGTTATGTTTGCTGAATGCTGAAGACATCTGCCGGTTGCGACTGTCCGCGGGCTCGATGGGTGATCGAGCCCAGAGGATCCGTGCGATTTTCGATCGCTTCGACAAGGCCTGGATGTTGCGGTTGATGATGGGATACAAATATAACCATTGTTTTAAGGGTCACAAAAAAAAATATATCCCAACTTAAAGGGGTAATTACTATGATTATATAATGTTATATCTATTGATAACCCCAACTGCACCACGTATAATTCCAGATGTCAAGTGCTTTGAATCATTGAGTAGGAGGCTGGTTTTTTTTTGAGAGCTCGAGACCAACAATTCACTACTTCAGAAGGGGGAATCTAGGCTTAGCACCAGTTCACCCCATGATAGAAGGCCTACACCATGTGTAGCATGGTCAAAACCTGGATTATTTTAATCCATATTGGGGGTCTTCAATCCATTCATACGGGGGTCTTCAATCCATTCATACAGATCTATATATACATACATACGCATATATATATATACCCATTGTAAAGAATCCTTAATAGTGGGATGACCACAAGCCACAAACCATTCATCCCACGCAACTTGACCGAAGCGCACCAAAAACACGGTGCCCATCGATACATCCCTTCAAGTCAGCACATCGCACTGCGACAGGACAGTACCGGTTCCCTAAATAGGCTCGGCCTGTGGACCCACCTGGAGACTTTCAACCGTTACTGGAATCTTCGCCTCATGGATCGGCAGGAGCGGCTTTACTAATAAGGAGCCAATGACTTGAAGCGGATTATTGTTGGTGACTTGAACCGGATTTGTGGAGTGGATCCCATCTTGGCTCCATCTTGGCTCATAGAGCTGTGGTCCACATGACATGCCACATGACAAATCGACATGGAAATGGCCACATGCTATGGATGGCGGCCAGTTGGGGATGATTATCCGATTACCCTCATGTGATAGGTCAAAGCCGATAAGAGACCAAGTTAGTTAGTTGAGTTGTAGGTATATAGTCTTGTCTATGTTAAATTCAAATGCATTTTAGAGTATTGCTTATGGGGATATATAGGGATACAACCCACCACCAACATTGATTCAGATCCAATTGCAACTGGTGCTTGGGACTATCATTTCTGTTGTTAAGAGAAAAGGGATCCCAACTGTAGAACATCTAAACATATCACACAAACACACACACAGATATGTATATATATATATGTATGTATACATGTATGTATATACACATGGCCACTCTTACTTGGAAAGAGTTGTGTCGTGATACAGCCTTAGCAGTTGCCACGAGAGATCTGACTAAGCTGGGAATCACTTTTCAATCCAGACAATGATTATTGATGCGATTGATTCCCAATGATTATTGATATACTGTATATATATATGTATATATATATATATATTTGATTATTGATATAATTATATATATATATGTAATGTATACACACATAGATTGCTCAGATTACTACAACCAACTAACCCATTAATTGATAGTGATATAATCCAGCCGGGCCATTTTGAGCCCTTTGGCCGTCCCGGGAGCGTGCCGTGCACCATGGAAGAAAGTCTATGGCCTGCCCCCTGCGCTTTGGCAAACGCTGGAGCCTCTGCTTGCTGCTGGCGGTTGGCATCACCGTGAACCACGTGGCGCCTTAGTCAAGCAGAGTTAGCTGTGTGGAGCCAAGGACGGCCTTTTTAGGACTACCAAACCACTCGTTGCCAGCAATATTGAGCCATGGGCGTGTCTCAAAATGTTACTTTTTTTTCCCTCATCTATGGCAATCTTAATGGGAAAGCCATTTTTTCATCCTTGGTCCCTAGGTTCACCCTTTCTGACAAAGCCCTAAAAAAAATTCACCCACGAATACTCGGTGCAGTTTCTGATCCATAACCGTACGAACTTGTGAACCTGGGGATATGAACAAGTGGCGAAAGTCAAAAGCCCGGGGTTTGACCCGAAGGTGGTAGACGGTAGA